TTTATATATATATATAGAATTACATATACAGTAGGAATCCCTCGCTAAGACTGTTCAGTGAAAGGGGCTAAAATTAGGCTTAGTCCAAAAAACCAAAGTATATTTGGATACAGAGTTTTAATTTTTTCTGTGGTTCAAGATATTAGCAGAGAGATATTTCACTCTCCATCAACATATTGTTTCACAGTTATTTATGAAATTAATGTCAACAGATTTACCAAAATCAAAATTTGAAAAGGCTTACATGTTCCAAGTGACTAACATCTTCTGTCGTAGTCAATGAAAGTGGTGGGGCTAGGTTTTGGAAGAAGAGACTCATTTTACCTACAATGTCATATGCTTTCTTATGAACTTTCATTCTAGATCGAGAGGATCACCCTTCAGACATGAACAGGAGTTCCCAAGAAACAGGCAAGGTAGTGGTCGATTTGACAATAGGGGGCAGCACAGAAATGAAAGATCAAGACAGGACAGTGAGGGAAGGGCGCCCTCTGGTGGTTATCAAAGCAGTGGCAGGAGTAGACAGAATAGTGAAGGAAAATCACCATACAGAGAAAAGCCTTCAGATCCAAGACAGGAGGGTCAGTAGAAATAGTATTTTGCTAGGAGAGAAAAGGTTTTTCCAGCAAGTTTTTTTTTTTTTTTTTTTTTTTTTTTTTTTTTTTTTTTTTAAAGAATGTAAATGTCAGGGCTGACTGCATTGAGTGAAGATCTTTCAGAGTCAGGTTTATTGTTTAACAGAAAATAGAAAACTGAAGGCTTTTTATTAAGCTTTTCAAAATGAAAGCTGATTCAGTTAACATTCATTTGAATTTTAGGATCTTTTTTTTTCTCACTTGGTGCAACATATTTTCAGGTCAAGATAGCTCCAATCCAAAGAGGGTGAGAAGTAGAGGAGGGGGAGGAGGCAGGGGACAGAACCAGGGTCACAGTGGAAGACAGGGAAAGAAGCAGGCTTTTGTGAGCTCTAGTTTTATATTAAAAAAAACCTGTTCACTGGATGGTGTCCTTTGTGCCTCCTTTGTGCAACCACGAAACTTGCATTGCTAAAAAGGATACACAAGCATTGCTTTGGTTGCAAAATGCTCAGCCAGTTGTCATCATGTAAATTATTATTATTATTTTTTTTTTTTTACTCTCAAACAGGGCTGTACTGCAGGACGCAGAAAGGATAATGTCCAGTGTAAAGGGGGCTTTGTCTGTGATCACTGAGTGCCTGTTATCAGTTGCTAAATTCTTATTATGGGTTTTTAGTGCATTTGTATTAAGCTTCACATCATTTAATGAAATTGTCAGTATCCATTCTTCTTATTATTATTAAGAATGTTCATTTTGATTTCTTATAATTTTTAGTTGCTGAATACTTTTCATTTATCTTCATTGAATTTGAATTAGGCTTCAATGCATGATAAAAAAAATTCATTCATTCTTATTGACATCACAGAATATTTTTGATTTCCGCAACAGTTTGTTTCAAACAATAATAATAATAATAAAAATAATAGTAATAATAATAACAATTTCAGAAATTCAGCCCTCATTGGTCAGTAGAGAAGGTGTCAGAAGGCCTGAAGAGAGGCGAGCTGATTGAGGGACCAATCAGAATCAACCCCAGGAACTTCGAAGATGCCTACCTGCCACACCCTGTATGTGTAATTTCTTCTTAGCAAAACATTTTGATGGAATTTTACATTGAGTTTATATACCAATAGTGCACAGGGTCTTAATGTGCCACACTCTATATGTATATTGTTTTTATTGGAATACATTGGCATTTTATATGTGCACAGGGTTTTAATGTGCCCCATCCAACGTGTGTAGTTGTCTTTATTAGTTCATGTTCATTTGGTAGAATTATGTTCCACTGGGTACACAGGGGTTTATAGCAGTGCTTGATTGTAGTCATTGCGCCATGAATGTTTTGGTAGTTGTATATATAATCGCTGTGATTTCAAATATAATTTAGTTTACTGAACATGACAGTTTGTTCTGTAAAGGTGGGGTGCAAATATAGTATGATATTGAAGAAGATTTTTAGAATTGAAGTGCAAATGTAGTATGATGCTGCAGAGGAATTTCGGAAGCAGGGTGCAAATGTAGTATGATATTGAAGAAGTTTTTTAGAATCAGAATGAACTATTACTCCTTACGCATATATCCTCCTATGGAAATGTGTTAAATTTCAACACTATAATAGAACAGATGCAAAAATGCATATTATTTAAGTATAACCTGGGCCTGTTTATAGGGGAAGAGATCTCCACCAGTAGAAAGCCAAATGAAATATTGATACAGGGAGTCTGGTTTAATGTTGTCTATTGCATGATATGGGATGTTTTCAGGATGGCAAGTCTGACGTGTATATCCATGGCATAATGAACAGGAATCGAGCTCTGAATGGAGATATTGTGGCAGTATTATTGAAACCTAGGGAAGAATGGAAGGTGAGAATACTGTAAAGACTTGAACATCTGAATTTATTTGATATGAAATAAAACAAGTTCAAGATGAATGCAAGTCACATTTAATGATAACTGCAGGCTCCCTAGGGAGTTGGAAAGTGAATTGTTAATCCAGCATTTATTATTATTATTATTATTATTATTATTATTATTATTATTATTATTTATTATTATTTTTTTTTGTCTATCACTTAGGTGCTAATGGAGGATGTGCAAGCATTTGAGGAAAACATGGTAGCTGAAATGGAGGCACTCACTCTAGAGGCCGATGTCAATAACCACGACAACAATGACAATTACATCGATGATGACAATGACGATGATGATGCAGACGTGGTAGTTGAGGAAGAGTACACAGAGGAAGAAGATGAGGGGGAAGATAAGATACAAAATGGGGCTGTTGGAAATAACGATACCAGTGCTGCCATCTACAATGAAAGTGAAATACCAGAATGTGAAAACTTGGATGACACTAGACGGGATGATACAACCCCAGTCACAAAGGTTCTGGAAGATACTCAGGAAAGCTGTTCTACCACAAGTAGTGATGTAAATCTTGGTGCTGCCACCTGTGTTCCTACCTCAGAGCCTTCCCAGGATGCAGTGTTGACCCCCAGCAAAGATGCTTCCAGTGCTGATTTACAGAAGACTGCAACCAGTTCAGTCAAAAAGAAGGAAAAGTGAGTTAAATGCATAGATGTTGTCAAATATATGTTTTCTGCTTTCGTTCTTGTTTGTTTGGGAAAGGATTGTATACAAATTTTATGAAATTAGAAGCTTTCTCATTATTTGGAGAAGATTTGTCAAACATTCCCCGTTATTGTTTATTCTTACACTTGAAAAGAAAAATATGTATTGTCTTTATAATAAACAAAAATTAAGCATAATTGTTTTTGAATGCGGTGAATTGTAAGATACTGTGATTGCCCATCAGGTCTCAGAAGAAGGGTTCTCCCAGGTATAAGCACACCACTCTGAAGCAGTTCACAGATGGGAAAAGTCCAGCAGCCAAGGTTTTGTTCCATGAAGGCAACTCGGAGGAGGAGGCCCAGGTTAACCACGACAAGTTTCTGCAGAGGATGGGAACGGTAAGTGTTTGTCTGGACACGGCAGGCATTTGAGGAGTCTAAAAGGAGTTCTTTAATGAGTCTACCTGCATCGTGAAATTCATTTAGCCATTAGGTAATAATTATTATTTTTGTATAAAGTTTATAAAAGAAAACTGTTTATTATTATTTAATGAAATTTTGTACTGTCATGCTGTTCTTGATGATGTCACTAAGTTTTTTACTGAATTTGATGATGTCACTGTAAGTTGTATGTAGTATTTGATGATGTCACTGTAAGTTGTGTACACAATTTGATGATGTCATTGTAGGTTGTATATATAATAGAGAAGAAGCACAGCCGTGCTTCCACGGGTCACATCAAACTGATGCAGGACAGGAACAAGGACAAGGCTCTGTTCTCCCCCATTGACCCTAGAGTGCCAAGAATATGTATAGCTATGACAGACTGCCCACAAGGTACTTTACTGCACTGTTAGTGTGTTTGTGTGTGTGTATGTGTGTGTGTGTGTGTGTGTGTGTGTGTGTGTGTGTGTGTGTGCGCGCGCGCGCAAGTGTGCACATTCTGAAAAGATGAAATGTCAGCTGAAGAGAAATAGAATGAATGTTATCACAGTAAAAAAGAAGAAATCGTTTTTTTTTTTTTTGACAGATCAGTAATTGAACTGATGTGCAGATGCATTTTTGCAACATTTTTGAGGCTTTTTTTTTACTCTGCTGAATATTGTTCATTTAAAATGAATTCAGCATTTGGGGGTAACAGCTGTATGAGTTACGTTTATTTATTATTACAGGGTTTTATGAAAGACCTGAGGACTTTTCCAGAAGTTTATTTGTAGCAAGGATCACAGAGTGGGATGAAGTGTCACAGTTTCCTAAGGGGTGAGTATAGAGTGTTGTTGATCACAGAGTGGGATGAAGTATCACAGTTTCCTAAGGGGTGAGTGTAGAGTGTTGTTGATCACAGAGTGGGATGAAGTGTCACAGCTTCTTAAGGGGTGAGTGTAGTGTAGTTGATCACAGAGTGGGATGAAGTGTCACAGTTTCCTAAGGGGTGAGTGTAGTGTAGTTGATCACAGAGTGGGATGAANACAAATAAAGACACGCTGTTTATTTGATATTTGTTTTATTGATTGTTTTACCAACAGAATGCATGAAATAACCTTAAATAGATTTGGTAATATGCAGCATATATATATACATGACTTTTTACCTTTCTACGAAGTAGGCCCTATTCACAATGCTTTTATATTTTGAGAGCATGGATAAAGACATGTTGTTAGTTTGATACGTGTTTCTGTGGTAAATTAGTGTTTCCAGCTGTGTACTGAAAACATAACTTTTCTTAAGCAATTTTTTTTTTTTTGGGGTCCCCAGAGGATGTCAAAAAATGTCATAAAAATAAAAAAGTGTGGCCTAAACTACAAATAACTTTATCGTGTAAGCATATAATATGCCAAAGAAATGCTGTCAATGGAGAGCTGTGTTGCATTATCGTTGGAAAAAGATCAGAACAAACACTGCCCTCTTTAACAATTCAAGCAGTTACCCTGCGTTAAGATACTGCCAGATATTTATATATGAAGAATGATAACTCACCAGTTACTTTTTATAAATTGTGGATAAAATCATACGCTATTGCTAGGTAATGACTGCACAATTTCTGGTCATGATATGACGAAGATATCAAAACAAATTATTGAAAATAAATTTACCTAGAATTAATGGTTGCAAAGTCCAAATAGGTCCTGCGACCTTGATAGTGTGTGTTAAAGCAGACCGAGAAAGAAAGCGGTAATACTCGAGAACGTTTCGTATGTAACTACAGGCAAGCATGTAAATTTCAATGACGCAGTTACACTCTATTGATATATGCCTATATAAAGGATTTGAACAAACTGATAAAATGGAAGATTCTACTTTATGCAACTTCCTTCAGTCAATATAATAGAAAGCTAATACCAGTGAATACTCGCCTATTTCGACATGTCTTATTATTACGGCGTATCTCCTGGATGGAAGCTATTTTATTTTTTTACTTTGATAGCCTCATACTCTGCTAAAGATGCTCTAGCCAAACAGAAAAATATTGGGGTAAAAAAAAAAACAATTTCAATACTAGCTGTTGATTGAAGAAAATTAATGCTTTATTCTTTTACAAGACATTATTACTGAGAGTCAACTCAACATGTTAAATACAATTTTGGACTTATATTAGACTAAAGAACAATTTAATTATACCAACAACAACAACAGCAATAATAATACCGTGAACTTTTCTTTGATTGTCGCAAGGTTACCAATGTTTCTGTAGTAAGCCTTAAATTCCAGAGAGGTAACGATTTTATTGACCAAGTTGTTACTTCCTTTTCTAAGACCGAAACCAATGTCTCAATATCCATTTTACACGTCGCTTCATTCCTAAAAACTAGGCGTGATTACAAATACCCGGTACGTCACCATACTTCTGTTTTTTGCATTTGGTTTTGCCTGCTCTAGATCTATGATTTGGTAATGAAAAGATAAATACCTGAAATAAACCAATCGGTGACATCACCCGAATCACTGCTCAAGGACTCATTTTTTCTTATGTGTTTAGGTATGGAAATAGTCCAGCAACAAAAAATTTTTCTCCTAAATATGCATCCTACGCATAGCAACCAGTGTCGAACAAAATACAATACATAAACATGACATTAATAATAGTATACATTTTGCCTACTCAATAATCTGTGTTATGAATTTTGACTTTGGTATGTTCTTACCTAAAGATATGTAGCCTATTGCGAGTTAGGAGATTTGTTCATACCACTATTGTCGTTGTTTATTTACATTTCTCTTTTAATTTTATCTGCAGATGCCTGCCTTAGTGTAGAAAGTCTCGCGGAAGGTTTTAATTAGGCCCTGTCGAAGAATAGAACTTCCACAATTGCCTGTTTACACGGGGAGCCGACGGAGTATGGCAGCGCATATTACAACCACAAAAGCCATTTCTCTGTCATTTTGATGGGAGTGGATTAGAATTATGTTTTGTAAGTTTATGTGCCCGTGGCCACATGATAGACGCCGGCATATTCACTGAGTGCAACCTAAAGATAAATATCTTTCCGGGTCGGTTCAATAAAATAAAGGTCACCAGGTGTGATAACGGACTTTTACTCACGGCATTACTTGCATCTGATGTTCGATTATTACAATGAGAATACCTAATCCTTAGCTCTGCTAACCGCAGCAAATTGCGCAGTAAAGTTCTAAGACCGTTTTTGTGTACTCTGTTACAGACATCAGACGAAACGATGTTTAACGTAAACTCTCGAATGAAATTTCATGTATCAACTGTCTTCTTAATTTTGTTAATGATATGTTTTATGTTTCAATCAAAACGTGGCTACCTGGCAGTCAGAGGATAAACGGTTACGGTACAAAGTCTTTTTCAAAATGGTATTTTCTTCAAGTTTGAATAGTGGCGGTTAGAAAAATAATTCATGTTCGGTTGAAGAATGAATTAGAATATAAAAATAGACGCTTGGAATTCCTGACACTCTGGCCCAAGCTGACCATGACAAACCCTATATTTTCGTATGAGAAAATGTATTTGTGTTGCAACCCAGTGGTTGCGCCATTTTACACCAGATAATGAGGTTGAGAACATATAGCAATAAACTATGCAACTTTGAAAATTTTAATGATGTTGTCGTTGACAAATCATCAATTTAATCAATTGGTTGGTCTGATATGTTGACCTCTGCGACCTCCATGGACGCTTCTTACTGGTCGATATTAGAACGCTTTATCTTCCTCTCTTTGATGTTAACGGACACAACAATAGAAAAGATGTTTAAAGCCTATCTTCAGTTTGAAGTTGCGTACATTCGTTTACTCATCATGACCACCTTGGCTCTGAAAACGCACTGGCTACACCGACAACCTTTCAATCATCAATGGAGTTGCACAGGTATTGCACGTCAACTACACTAAGTTACACAGAATCATGTTAATAGCTTATATGGTAATACAGAATCATGTCTAAGATTAAATTCAAAGCTGTCACCATGGTTCACCACCACCAGTGGAGTTAGACAAGGGGATAGTCTGTCACCTACATTTTAAATAATCTGATCTCTGAGCTAAATAAACATAAAGGAGGGATCAATATAAATGAGAGTTTGAATCTAAGGGCGCATTCCCATAGATTTTAGATCGATCTATCCCCGTGGGGAGTCTCACTAGATTACTGTCAAATAATCCGGCTTAAATGTCCGTCCTGCCTACTACAAGCTGTAAGGGGATAATTAACTTTCGTGTCCGCTCGGCTGACAGCTATTTAGCGTGAACCCCCAGAGAGTTAGGTCGATCTAGTTAGATCGATCTAATCTCTGGGAATGGGGTCTAACAGGTCTCCTTTATGCTGAGATCTGGTAATAGTATCTGATAGTACAGAAGAACTGAACAGCAGCCTGGAGGTGGTGGACCAATGGTGAATACTTAGCAAATGGAATGTGCTAATTAATTACAAGAAGACAAAGTGTGTACATTATAGGCCTAGACACAAAGAATGTGCTGCAGATCCTGTATATTTTGGAGGTCACCATATAGAATGAGTTGATAAGTATAAATATCTGGGGGTTTATGTCGCAATATTACAATAAATTTTAAAAATCAGTAACTAGAGCACTGGGTTTGATTATAGCAAAATCAAAAAAGGTTGGTCAAATGGGATTCTCTACATACCAAAATTGTTTAACAGTTGTGTGACTCCAATTTTAGAATATGGGTCGTGGGTCTGGGGATTCTCAGAAAGTGAAACCTGTGAAAAAGTATGCTCAATGCGTTAAGATACTATTTGGGAGTACACCGATTTACACCAAAAATTAGTCTGTATAGTGACTCAGGTTGGATACCACTAAAATTTAATAGGTGGTTGAACATACTTAGACTTTGGAACAATTTAATATTCACCCAAAATGAAAGACTTGTCAAACAGATTTTTTAGAAGATGACAAATTGGGGGAAAAACTGGTGCTCTGAGGTAAGAGAGATATTCAAATTCTGTAAAATGGAAACCTTTTTTTTAACAAACAAATTGTGGATATAGAATACATTAAAAAACTCTTTTATGAAAAATTTCAAATTAAATGGAAAAAAAGACATTTTTAAATTCCCTAAACTTCGAACATATATGACATTTAAAAAAAGAATAGAAAACTGAAAAATATTTACACGTAGATAATAGAAAAGAAAAATAATTTTTTACTCAATTTCGAATGGGCATTTTGCCTTTGGAGGTAGAAACTGGACGGTATACAAATACACCTTTAGATGAAAGAATATACCAAGTATGCAAAAAAGAACTAGAAGATAAGAGTCATTTCTTACTTCGGTGCACTGCTTACACAGAGAAAAGAGATCAATTTTATAAAAAGTTGGAGATTCAAAAAAATGATACAAATGACATTTCTATAGAAGACTTAATGGAAAAAAATTGAGGCAATTAGCAAAATTTATTATTAAGATTTTTGAATTGAGACAGGAAAAATAGTATACAACAGGTGTTTATAAGCCCGAAGAGCTGGGTGTTCTATACACATGACACGTTAATAAATGATGATGATGATTATTATTAAGTTTCATCCAGATATGATTGGGATTGGCAATATTAGGGTTTGAAAACTGAAATGTTACCACCATGGAAAAATCCTAATGACGGGCTCTGGCTGTTGATAGGCTTTAGAGGGAGGATAAAATTGCTTTTAAGGCACACAACCGATTGACTGTCTATTTAACAAGACTGTTCACAGAAAAAAACACGTCATTCCTAAAGATTTTGTCAGTTGTATTCAGTATAACTGATTAAAATAGTTACAGACAAACAAAAAATTACACTCCATATCACATTAAATAAAGGTATTTAAATAACTAACTAAAAACACACAACATAAAAGCAACCGACTGTTCTATTCACATCAATACACATAACACAAAAGTTTACACACATGCTTTATTCATAATTATTACACCAGACAGAACTGGAGAAAATTTACAGAGATAGATGGTTATAGTAATAATACAGATTTTTTTACACAGATGCATATACCAGAATTACATATATAGGTATGCATCGTTATTTCACATACATAGTAATTCATAATCATAAACTAAGGTGCAATCTTAATGACGAGCCAACAACGTAAGTTAGCATCATGCTTTTATCGTTGTATACTTGACTAAGGTATAGAAAAATTAGGCATGTACGAGCTTATTTTCTACTATGTGAAATGAACCGCGATTTTACAGTAATTATTTATCGCCTTAGACATCACTAAGTGGAAGATACAGCATAGTGTCTTTTCTCAAAAGCGAGGTTAAGGAATTTGGCCAAGGAAATTATCACCGCTCGTTAGGGTTGTTCATTAGGGTTGTTCGTTAGGGTTGTTTAAATGCGTAAATCATGTATGGCCGCTTTGTACCACTCGGAAGAGTTCCTAACTGTGTAGAGGGCAGGTAATTAAACAGGTAATTAAAAAGTGCTCTTCATCCTCTATTACACGACATATTATGGCTTGTGTTATGGAGGCTACTGCTTGTCACAGTATGCTAAACTATACATGTTTCAAACTATACTGGAGGCCTTATGCACTTTCCGCAAACAAAACTTAATCGTCGAAATAAAAAAGACCAGCAATGGGTTTCCTATCAACTGATGGGACTTTGCTTTCTGGTTCATATATTAGTCTAACTATGTCATCAATGAATATACATGTATAAAAAAAGTAAGGGAATCGGTGTTTCTCCCTGTTTAACTCCTCTAAATGTTGGTAAGGAATTTGTCAGTCCATGGGTAGTTTAGATGCATGCGGTGTAGTTTTCAAATATTGCTTTTATAGTTTTTGTAGAATTTTTCACCTACATCTTATTTATGCAGTTTAAAGAGCAAGCCTTTCCTCCTGACACAGTCTCCTACCCCCATCGTTTTAGATGCAACCAGTTATGCAACAAGGTGCTATAAAATTACCATTTACACAAGCTACTGACCTGCAAGTGCTACCACACATAATCTGACTTCTAAGTTTTGTCAAGATACCAATGAACCTTGGTCACCCAAGTCGTACCAATGGACCAACATTTAGGGGTCTGCCTGAAGGACTATATTTTATAAGTCTTGTAACAACGCTAAAATATTTAGTCTATTCAAAACTCTTCTTTCCAATATTTTGTTTTGCAAATAAAAGACGTAACGTATGTTAGTATAATCTCATCAAATCATACCTGAAGATGGACGTCTATCAGATGGCAAATTTGTTTTCCTTCATTTTATATGATACATGTATTTATGGATTTTGACCAATTTTTATTTTTATTTGTTTATTTATTTATCTATTTTTGCAGAAACGTTTGTACTACTTGAAATTCCCAGTGCATACTATAGTCTCTTTTTTCTTCCTTACTGCAATGCAGAAAGCGCGCCTTTCAGAATTAGTTTTTTCTCCCACATCACTGGTACGCAATGTTGGTGTTTTAGTTCAAACTCACATCGAACCCACTGACCTATGCATTCCTTGCTGCAATGCAAAAGGTGCGCATTTCAGATTGAGCTTTTCCCACATCACTGGTAAGCAATGTTGACGCTTTAGTTCAAACTCACAGTTAACTTATTGACCTAAATTCTCAACCAGGTAAAGAACAGCACAGTCCAATAATTTATTTTTTGTCAATATTGTTTCTCAAAGTTTTAGCCTTATTTAGTTCTTGGGCCTTCCATCTCCAAAAACTAGAAGGTAATCTAAAGGCACATTGTATAATTTAACATTTGCATAGGAGATGTTCTTACAGAACGATCTAGCTCTGTAAAAAATCTGGAAATGGCACTATGGGGAAGCGTGTATCTGAAGTGTGTAAATCAGCATCTTATGCACTATGGCGCATTGGAAAAATAAGGAAAGTGTTAAATAACAAAACCACTGAAAAATTAATACATGCATTTATATTAGAGGTGAAGGTCACACAGCTGCAACAGACTTTAGTGGCCAGTGACAAAATCTTGGAATTTACATACTTTGACTTATCAAAGGTAATCAGAATTTGTACAGCATATTTTTAAGTCAATCGGGCTCATCCTGGATCGTTATTGGATTTGGATTTGGTTTTGCTGGAAAGGGAACTTGGTGCAAAAAAATTGGTGTCTGAGACTGACACATCAGTGACGCTTACATTTGCATTCATAGACAACTATTTCACTTTGCAGCGCTCTCGTCATAACTGTAACTAACTGCAATTATGAAGTGCGACGGTACGCCGGAGGGTGATTGCCCTGATAGGCGTCATGGCAAAGAAGTGTCCCTGTGTCAGGGTGACCTTATGTTGTGTAAGGACTGTAAGCGCAAAAGATTCTCAAATACCAAATTCACTGCTGCAGATTGTCTTTCAGACTTAAATGGAGTTGAGAAAGGGCAATTAGTGGATATATTTTTAGCTTCACTGGATCGAATCTATCTTAGCTCGCAGGACGAAATAACAAACTTTCTGTCAGGAATTCAAATGGACATACTGACAGCCCTGCTTCATAACTTATGTGAAGTGATCCAAACCACGTTTCCTCATTTAAAAGACCGCAAACCAGTAAATCGACAATCCAAAAACACCATTATCCCTGATATTTTTCATCTCGGATATAGCATCTGTAACAAAAGGGAAACGAAAGACCTTGATAAAGTATTCCGCCCCAAAGACCAGGCAAATAACATAGCTCGTCACAGCGCGTCTGAGAATGACATTGCCAATCTAGCCGAATTAATTGGCCTAATTAGTACGATCAGATCTGAGTATGATGCAGATATTAAAAATCTTANCAATGCTGTGACGGAGCCAGCTGTTACACTGAGGGAAGTGAAGGAAGTCACCACATATTGGTTATTTAACATTTATCTCTGCGCTTAATCCTTAATATGCTGTTAAGTCTGAAATCATCAAAATTAAATGTGGGCTCAATTTCTTAGTTAACATTATCTCTGCCCTTAATCTTTATTGTGAACTCCATCTTGGTGTCACTTTCGGTGTCAGGGTATTATCTGCACCCAAAGTGCCCAGCGCCCTCTGGTTTGGAGGAGGGGGGTAGAACAATCGTCCCCGTCCCCCTGTGGATGTACTCTTTACTTTAGTGTACCAGGGGCGGCCATCAAATTCAGGACCGGGTTTATATAATTTCTTCTATTAATTCGATCACTCCATGCATCTGAAGTCAATCTTTAGCCTCAAAAGTCAACCAAATGCCAGCATACAGTTTCAAGTATTGTAACTAAGAGAATTACCAAAAGGCATTGTTTAATTTTACCCAAAAATAATATCAATAACAGACCATACAAACCTATGGTAGGCATATAACTTAAGGGTGTTTGTCAGCATATAGCAATAATCTCATGTAAGATCAGCGTTCAACAGTTGACAAAAATAATTGTACTTGTACCTGTGCCTTTTTGTTAAGACGTAGTCTGAAATTGTGTAAATTGTAGCTGAAAAGGGGAAACACTGTATCACACCGGGTAACACCGATTTCCTCAAATCCACACTTCAAGTAAAAGCGCATGGCTTCCTGCTGGATCTCAGATGTGTCCAATATAATCACATCGTAGCCTTGCTGCTTGGCAAACTCGATGGCAGTGTCCAACAGGGCTTTGGCTACACCCATTCTTCTATATTCCGGATCCACGGCCATCCTTTTCAACTCTGCCACAGTGGTTCTCCGCTCTCCACTTTTTCCCGCTGTTGACTTCTGTTGCTTTTGGATACCTACGCCACCAATGATGACCCCGTCATCCCATGTAGTGTTGATTTTTATGTTCATTGATAGTTGGTAGGTTACATCATAATTCAGTATTGCTCCAAATCTGCCTAAATCATGATTACCCTATGAACTCTTAACATCATCCTGGTTACTCGGTTTTATAAGCAGTAAATCAAAGTATTAATTTGATCATAATACATTAGAACTAAAATTATATCAAATACAAATGTTATAATAAATAAATAATCATTTATATGAGCCTTTGGAACTATTTTTTTTATGTGGGGTTATGCAAATAAATAAATTTGGCCAAAAAGTGGGCAAAATCCTTAACTGTACATGAACTGTTTTTTTTTTAGTATCATTTTGTTAGTTTGAGTAAGAATGGTTTCGAGAATGGAAAAGAAGTTTCAAATGCCTATATCTTGCTTACTTCAAAAAAAGTAAATTTCTATTTTTATAAGTTTTTTTGCAAACTGTAAGCAAATGGCCTTTTTTTGCAAACTTCTTGCGAACTGTAAGTTAATGTCTAATTTTCTTGCAAACTTATCGGGAACTGTAAGTAATTGTCTAAGTTTCTTGCAAAGTTATCGCGAACTGTAAGTAATTGTCTAAGTTTCTTCGTGAACTGTAAGTTTATGTCTAAGTTTCTTGCAAACTTATTGAAAACTGTATGTAATTATCAAAGTTTCTTGCAAACTTCTTGTGAATTGTAAGTTTATGTCCAAGTTTCTTGCAAACTTATCGTGAACTGTAAGTAGACTGCTAAGTATCTTGAAAATTTGATGCAAACAAAGTAAATGTCTTGTTGCAATCTATAAGCAAATGTCTTCAGGTGTCTTCAGACTTCTCATAAACTAAAGTTTATAAATTTCTTAGTTTTGTGCAAATTTCTCATAAGCTGTTAGTTAACTTGGCCTTTTTTTTTCTTTTTTTAAACTTAATACTAATATTTTGGCTTGAAAATGGCACTTCCTAAACGCCCATGCTCGGTGCAAACATCATAAATTTAACTGCATATTAGTAAAAAAAAGTATGGACTTTCTTGCAAATCTCAGGCAAACTTTTATGTGAAAAAGAATTTGCAAATTTGCTGCAAACATGAAACAATTTCTTGCAATTTCTTGCAAATGAATAAACTTGGTGTGTATAAAAGCTGAGTTTCTTGCAAACCTTTATGTGAATGAGGAGTTTATTGCAAATATACTGCATTTGCAAGAATGTTAGTCTTTCTTGCAAACTTCCAGCAAACTTTTATGTAAATGGTCTTCTTGCAAATTTGCAAGAAAATAGAAGCTTTCTTGCAAATTTGCGAACTACCTGCAAACTTTTAATCTTCCTGCAAATTTGCAGCAAATTTGCAACAACTGTGATTTTTCTTGCAACAACCTGCAAACAGTTTCTTGCAAACTATTTGGTTTGCAGCAAATTTGCTGCAAATTTTTTGCTGGTTTGCTGCAAACTATTCATTTTGCTAAGGGAGGGTTTTAAGAGAGTACATTTACCACAGTTATCGGGGATGTGTTATTAAAACCAGTTCGTGTTTACAGGATTTGAAGAGATAGCGGGGGAAATGTTGGCGAAAAAATACCAAATATGCATTTAGAACATTGACAGCCATTTATTATCACTAATTCCTCGTTTTATGAGGTAAAATAGACACTCGTCTTTTAATTATAGGCTGATTTGTAAGCGGGCCCTGACTTGGATCGATTTAATGTTTTTGTCTTTTTCACAGGAAGTACATCTACAACAGCACCATGTTCTGCAAATCCCTGCAAAAGCGGCGCGCAATGTAAGGAGACTGATTATGACAGCTCCCCCTGTCTTAATGGCGGACGCTGTACCACACAGCTCGATGAGACCTTCCAGTGCACATGCCCAAAGTTGTGGACCGGTTCCCGCTGTGAGCGATGCCTGTGTCAGAACGGAGGTAGATGTGACTACAGTCCTACTGACGGTCACGTGTGTCGCTGCCAAGCTGGGTACATCGGGATGAAGTGTGATACTAAAGTAAAGGAATGCGACAGCTGGCCATGCTTGCATGGCACATGTATTGATGCGGTAAACGGTTATAAATGTGTCTGTGGCCCTGGCTACACAGGTAAAAACTGTGAAGTTAAGTCTGGCAGTTTGATTGTTTAAAATACCCTTTTCACCTACCCTGAGTGTCAGAGCAACGTAAAAGCTAGCTTGTTAAATATATACCTTGTGATGGAGTCGCTTTTACTAGCTCTGACGAACAGCGACAATCTGAGGGCGTTCTTCTTCAAAATTTTGCCTGGGGCGCTTCCATATTTGGAAGTCACCCGTCACAGCTGTGTCCGCCTGGATCCATATTTGGAAGTCATAAGTCTCTTGCGTCACAGGTTTGGCCGCCTGGAGCTGCCTTTCCCGCCTCGCGCTGAAGTTATCTCGTGCAGACGAGACAAGAAGCAAAGTGCCTGACGAAGTTTGAATTGAAAATATCTTGCAGTCGAAGGTCAGTGCCACAATAGTGATTTTGGTGTAGCCATTGCGCAGCCCTTATAGTGGTATCGGGCATACAGTGTAGCTGTCAAATTTGGCACACGGCAGGCACGTGTATTGCGCACGTGTACATCTCAGGACTAAATGTTCTTTGATAAACAAAAATACAAAAACATTGGATATATCTTTTCTGTTCGAAGAATATTATTTTTTTTCACTTTACATCTTAAATACAGCAAATAAAACTAAATAAAGCAGAATTAAATCTGTTTTACGTTTCATTTTAATCTGATGACATTCAACTGCAGATTCACTGCGGAGCAGTTCTTTTTGATTGATGGAAGTGTAACTTGGCGGCTGGTCACTAGAGCCGGTATTGTTGATATGGGTTATATATGAAATCAAGATCGAGCTGGCAATACCGGAATCTAGAACCTAGGGTATTTTCACCTCGAGCGGTACACTTTTCTATATGGTACCAGTTTGAAAGAGTCCCAACTTTGTAGCCATGCAGACATTTAAGTAAGCGAGATCGCCTAAAGCCGTTGAGGGTATTGTAACCCTTTATTGTCATCGATACAGAAAATGTTTTTTTCTGCAGTAATCGGTATGGGGCGTAACTTCATCCCTGAACAAGATTTTATCACCAAAATTGGCATAATTTACTACATTTGTATGGGCCACAATCCCTTGCCGTCATTTTAGTTTCTAAGAGCTTGTTATTAAGCTATGACCCCATTAGTGCAGATTTTCATTAAAGAAAGGCAGTTTTGCTTTATTAATGATGAAATCTAAACTGAGAATTTTAAAGGGATAACTCTTCGTATGAGATTAGTACGATCAGATCTGAGTATGATGCAGATATTAAAAATCTGAAAAAGCTGTCCCAAAAGCTCAGTGAGGAAAATGCAGCTCTTCGCGTCGAGGTTGACGCCCTCAACTGTAGACTGGACGCTTCAGGATTAATTCCACAGGAACACTGCGACAACAAGTCCCAGAACGATAATCTCGTAAGCGTAACATACTCAGAACACAACAGAGAAGAAAATACTGATGATGATCGCGAGGATGATTCAGCGGAGGATTGCGACGACCCCGATAATGTGTTGGCTGATTTTAGTTTTCATCATCAATATCAAGGTTTGATTGAAAAAATTTCTACACATGCTGATGCAAATATCCCAGGGGGTAACCAAGATTCCAGCAATCTCAAAGTTGTAGGTGATGAACAGACTCCCCACATCAAACCCGTCACCTCTGCCGATGCAAGCACAACCCGTGCGCACAAGGCTGCTATAAAACCAGTGGTCGGTGTTCAATCCTCGAGTAACAATGAAGATATTTTTGTTGGTAATGTGTCCCCTGAAAACGATGTTGATGATATGGTAGCCCATGTCTCAAGCATGGGGATAGACGGGGTTTCCTGCAGACTGTTGTCTGAGAAGTACGGTAAAAAATCTTTCGTCATTAAGATACCAGCAGTGTATAAAAAGCTTGTTTTGAACACCGACAACTGGAATGATAATATAAAAATCCAGCCCTTTCGTAACAAAAATGCAACGAAAACCCCCACCCACACACGAAGGGATAACCGAAAGCACCCAAACGTCAGGCCCGGGAGGCATGGCGGTGAATACCGCGTCTCACGAAGCCACTACTCTAACGGGCAACGTAATTCAACCGACACCTACCACCGCTATTATAGAGAGGACAGCAGGAGACGGTCCGACGAGCGGGAGACGACGCACCGATACAACTACGGCAACGGAAGGGATTACGACAAATATAATGAGAGATCACATAGGTACGAATCTCACGGAAGGCAGCAATCCTCACGATATGAGAGAAACTATTTCTATTAAAAGTAATGTTGGGTCACAAAATTTACAACAGATATTTGNTACATGAATTGTTTGTTTGTTTTTTTTTTAGTACAATTTTGTTAGTTTGAGTAAGGATGGATTCGAGAATGGAAAAGAAGTTTTCAAATGCCTATATCTTGATTATTTAAAAAAAAAAAAGTTAATTTTTATTTTTATAAGTTTTTTGCAAACTGTAAGCAAATAGCCCTTTTTTTTTTTTTGCAAACTTGTGAACTGTAGGTTAATTTCTAAGTTTCTTGCAAACTTATCGCGAACTGTAAGTAATTGTCTAAGTTTCTTGCAAAGTTATCGCGAACTGTAAGTAAATGTCTAAGTTTCTTGCAAAGTTATCGCAAACTGTAAGTAAATGTCTAAGTTTCTTGCAAACTTGTCGCGAACTGTAAGTAATTGTCTAAGTTTCTTGCAAAGTTATCACGAACTGTAAGTATATGTCTAAGTTTCTTGCAAAGTTATCGCAAACTGTAAGTAAATGTCTAAGTTTCTTGCAAACTTGTCCCGAACTGTAAGTAATTGTCTAAGTTTCTTGCAAAGTTATCGCGAACTGTAAGTAATTGTCTAAGTTTCTTGCAAACTTCTTGTGAACTGTAAGTTGATGTCTAAGTTTCTTGCAAACTTATGGCGAACTGTAAGTAATTGACTAAGTTTCTTGCAAACTTTTCGCAAACTGTAAGTAATTGTTTAAGTTTCTTGCAAACTTCTTGTGAATTGTTAGTTTATGTCCAAGTTTCTTGCAAACTTATTGCAAACTGTAAGTAGACTGCTGAGTATCTCGCAAATTTTATGCAAACTAAGTAAATGTCATCTTGCAAACTTTTCCCAAACTATTAACAAATGTCTAAGTGTCTTCAGGTGTCTTCAGACTTCTCATAAACTAAAGTTTATAAATTTCTTAGTTTCGTGCAAAAATCTCATAAGCTGTTAGTTAACTTGGTCTTTTTTTTTCTTTTTTTAAACTTAATACTAATATTTTGGCTTGAAAATGGCACTTTCTGACACCCATGCTCAGTGCAAACATCATTTATTTAACTGTATGTTAGTAAAAAAAGGTATGGACTTTCTTGCAAAACTCGGGCAAACTTTTATATGAAAAAAAAATTTGCAAATTTGCTGCAAACATGAAACAATTTTTTGCAATTTCTTGCAAATGAATTAACTTGGTGTGTATAAAAGCTGAGTTTCTTGCAAACCTTTATGTAAATGAGGAGTTTATTGCAAATTTACTGCATTTGCAACAATGTTGATCTTTCTTGCAAACTATCTGCAAAATGTTATGTAAATGAAGGTTTTCTTGCAAATTTTCTGCAAATTTGCAACAGGGTATATTTATCCTTGCAAACTTTCTTCAGGCTTTTATGTAAATGAGCAGTTTCTTGCAAATTTGCTGCAAATTTGCAACAGTGTATAGTCTTTCTTGCAAACTTCCAGCAAACTTTTATGTAAATGAGGGTCTTCTTGCAAATTTTCTGCAAATTTGCAAGAAAATAGAAGCTTTCTTGCAAATTTGCTGCGAATTCGCTAGAAAATGATAGTTTTCTTGCGAACTACCTGCAAACTTTTAATCTTCCTACAAATTTGCAGCAAATTTGCAACAACTGTGATTTTTCTTGCAACAACCTGCAAACAGTCTCTTGCAAACTATTTGGTTTGCAGCAAATTTGCTGCAAATTTTTTGCAAGTTTGCTGCAAACTTTTCATTTTGCTAAGGGATGTGACACCACAGTAGCTCCGCCCATTCCATATAGCAACTGAATCCACAGTAATTATTCACCTTGGGGAATTAAAAACAAAAAAATACGGGGAATGTAAACGCTTATGTCTTATTTTTCAATAAGCAAAATGGTCAATACATTATTGGAAAAAAAAGATGAACAAAAAGCTTCTTTCTTGGTATTTTGATGATCATAAACTCTGTCCATGGAAGCTTGTGTAAAGATAATGATCTTTGCACAAGGTACACGTTTACTTTATTGCATTGATGAGGGTCTTAAGTCAAAACACCCCGTGTTGTTTTAATGCCTTTAGAATAAAATGAAGATGAATAAAATATTAAACAACACTTTATGTCTTTTTAAGTATCTGATTAATCATACTACACGCACTCCTCGTGAAATTTAAACAAATTTCCATGGATGAGAGACTACGGATGAAAAAATGCCTTCCACGAAAACTGAAAATATATTTTGCGGTTTCATTTAACGCACGAGTGTGAATAATTTTGTCGTTTACAAATGAAGAACGTTTAGACTGTCACGTGCTCAACAGATGTATTTCCTGAAAAACTGTATTAGCTATGTAAATGCACTCTAAAACCTGATAACTATGATTATGACAAGTTGAAGAGAGAGAGAGAGAGACAAATTGTCTCTTTGCATTAATCTTACATTATTTTTCATGAAATGCCATACATTTGCACTTACATTTTACATTTATATCACTCTCCACCTTTTTGGAATAATCACGGGGTAACCATTTTCGAAATACGCCGTGTGGGCGTGGCCCGATGTAAATTACAAGAACACGTTTTTCATTTTGGATGCTTTCATGGCTACATAACACACGTAAGGAAATGAAGACATAAAAAGTCCAGTTCAGCAACATGTGGTGTCTTTCGATGCGACTTTCATACAGTTAACACAGATATAAAATAATGACAATCAGTAACTGTCATAGCTTTTATTTGATTCAGTGTCATGCGTGTTTAAGTCCCCACAGTCTAGATCTACTTAAGGAATGGCTCTGTATGTAAGCGTGTGGATGAGTGTTTGTGTGCGTGCATGCGTGTGCGTGTGTGTTTGTGTATGTGTGTGATATAAGCCACACGCTTTCTTTTCTTGGTTGACAACTCGGCATTTGACATCTGTAACACCAACCATAATAGTATCTGTAAAAGCAAAACGGGGCCATCATACATTTAACACAGGAGATAATAATAATAATAATAATAATAATAATAATAATAATAATAATTATAATTGTTATCATTTTATTTAAAAATATAACTCACCGTACAATAATGGTGTCGAGAGACTAAAGCCTGTGAAAGTACAAAAATGTTTCTTGCTTTCTACTTCATTTGAGGTACAATGTATGCATAATCGCTCATTCAGTGATGTAAAGAATACCTGTAATGCCCGTTTTCCACCCCGAGGGGTGCGCTTCCACAATGGAGACGACGAAAAACCTACATCATCGATTTCTCCATAAACTTTGGTACTACCTTAGCAAAAAGTTAGTGTTTTCTTTAATCTTCTACTTCTCTTACTTTTCAAAAATAAAGCAAACCTCAAGAAAAAAGCATCACTTAAAGATGCATCACATGTAATAATCTATAGCTAGGATAATGAGATAATGATTTCACTGTTGTCGTGATAACAGTTAACAAACAAAAATGCAGACGTGGACCTTATTAAAAACAAAACGGGGCAGCTGGTTAAGAACTTCGGAAGAAATTTTCTAATTAAATCATTCTGTATTTGTACCATGTGGTCCTAACATCCTTTACATGATTTACCTTTTAATCATAATTTCAGAGAGAATGAAACTTATTTTCGACCATTTCTACCATCATTCACATACATAAGAAACTCCGTAAAATAGCACACCTTAACAAAAGTCAGCACCTGACAGTCCATCTCCTTTACTCATATTTCGAATATGAATAAAAAAATAAATATAATTCTTACTAAAAGATGCATAACTTACAGTAATCGAGGATAAATGATCTGCAATTGTTATGGTTCTGATATATTCTTGAATACACACGTGGAATTTTTGAAGTCACTTGATTATTTAATTACACTTCGCAAAAATACTTGTGATAAACGGACATTTCACCAAGAAGTTTATTAACCCCAGCTAGTAGCATCTTTTACAGTAACCACGAGTGATTCTATAAAAACAATACCGACGAGAACCAATCCTGAAACAAATGCGTTGAATCCTTATGCAACGGTACCAAGAGCAAGCTCGCTTTTGGCGAATACCTCCTGAAATAAAATAAAATAGAATAGAATAGAATTTAATGTCCTGTAGATTCTATATACAGAGCTATAAGTGTATTTACCTACATTTTTACTGTTGTAGGTATTGCATCGCGTTATGGTAAACATTACAAAGATTTATACTGTGCGTACCTGCCGGGGTTTGGGTGCTGGCGCCATCTACGTCCTTCTGAGAGAGCCAGTATGCCTCCAGATTCCTGCAGAATTCCTGCATCCTGGGACTTAGGATGGACTTATCTTTGATCGGGGAAGTATTCACCTCGAAGCTTTTTTGGTCATCATCATCTTCTACATCATCTGTCGTGTTCTGGACGGTGTTCTAAAATAATAATTGTACAGGTAATGTATCAAAAGACTATTTCATGCCTTGCATTATTGTCATATGTTTAAAATTTATATTTTGAAACACAGTCAATACCATCCTTTATGTACAGAAGTAAACAAAAAGACTGAATAAATATAAAGTTAGTCGTACCGGTTGTTCCAAAGTGTTGGCCACGTCCTTGCTGTCAGTCTCTTCATATTTCTTCATTGGAGTCAAGTAACAAGCAAACTTGTTGTTCATTTCCATCTTGTATACTACCAGACTCTTGAAATCAAAGGGGCAATTCACTTTTGTTAAATATGATGGAATATTCCCACAAAATATTACATCTCTACGATTCTAATAAGTTCTACTTAGATATTATGTACAATTCAACTAGCTCGGCAGTGCTTTATCATATTTTCAAGTTTTTCCTTGAAATTACGGTATATTATTTTTTTGTTTAGGTCCCTTCTGGGGATCTGTCATAAATTTGTCAACAATTTGTAGGCAAAGCAAATGCATTGTTCAAGTGAATGTCCAAGTGAATGAGCCATCCAAAAGTAATGCGTTGCCACTAGGCACTTCATCACAGAGTAAATAATCAATGTAACTGCCACGAAGCCGGTGACGTCATAAATCCTTTACGTTGCTAACTCAGCCTGTTTGTTGATGTGTTCCGGGCTGAGGTTACTCCAATCCACGCCAAGAGCCTAACTCAACTCTTCTCTGTAGAATGGTTTTTACATATAGCCATCCCAACAGTGTCCTAACAGGGTATTTAACATTTCTAATCAACAATGTAAATTATTAGTAAACAACATCGGCTTGTTTTACTTGTACTGTGTCAAAAGGTAATTATACATGTAGTTTAGAACACCTAAGCTGTGATATATAGAATTTACTGAATTCAATGTGGTGACATTTCTAGATTTATGTGTCAAGTCTTTTTAATTTTTGTATTTTAGGTGCTTATAAATTAAGCAACTCACTAAATTAGCAAAGTGGGTTGACAAGCGGGACTTAATGTATTATATTTATCATCTTTAACATACTAGGTATAACCACCATAGCAGCTAAACTATGGGTTGATCTTTTTGTTACTAATTTTCTAAATTCAGTTAAAACCTCTACTCACTCTCGAGTTGTCCATGGCGACGTGAAACTTTTCGTTGTTCACGTTGTACACGGTGATGTTGTCTTTAAGATCAACCTGAACTTTTTCGTCAACTTTCTTCCCTTGCTTGTCAGTTAAACGGAGATGGTACTCCTAAAGAAATATTTTATAGCGATGTTGATGATGAGAAATTTTGCTTTCATTGAAAATATTTTTGCGTTAAGTTCCATCAATTTTCTTTAAAAGCAGATCTATAGTTATTGCTTTGCAACTGATATCCTTCATGCGCAAATTCGGGTTTAATAATTTTATTCTTTTTCTCCAGTGATCTGATTGTTTCATATAATAATTTAGTATAATTTTAGAACATCTTTACAACAACAATGATAATAATAACTCTCTTTTACTTTACTGCTGTAATATAGTAGACCCACCTTCCACACATCTTTGTTAGACATGTGAACTGCTCCCAATGTTCCACCGACAGCAACAGCAACAACAACAATGACAGCAACAGCAACAATGATGTACTTCTTGTACGACGCCTTCATCTGAAATGTACCGAATCTAAGGATAATGGAACCCAAAGAACAAACCCAAAGTTAAAATATAATAAAAAAAAGGCAATTCAAAATAATGAAAATATTACACGATATGTTTGTGCAATTGACATGACCTAAAGTTGTTTGTTTTAGTATGGAATGGCCTTTCGAAAAGTAATTTCAATTTCTATAGCCTTTACAGCTTAACATGGTTGCACACCCCTGTTATCCCCTGTATAAGGCTAAAAATTCTTGGTCTTAACATTTTCAAAGTAGAAACACTTACCTCGGCGCTGTCACGTCGAGAGGACCCACCATCTGTGATGACTGTCACGCCGGACTCGGCAGACTTTTCACTTACAGTTGGCAGCATCTTGAAAGTAAATCAAAAATTCGTCTGGCAAGAAGAGGAGCAAATATGTCGTACTTTATCAGAACTATTGAGTTCGCCGTCTAATTTGTGTATTTTGCAGTCTTTTTTTATAGCTGAGATCTTATTATAAATTCGACATGCATTTTTGATTTATGGACTGGAGGAAAAATGTCTTCCAAGAAGATACGTATTTTTATCTGTTTCTTGACAACAAAACAAACGGGAAAATGTGCATGTTATGATGAGGGGCAATTACCAAAACAAAAGGAATTATAATTGTAAATTAAACGTTATGTTTACAATATTTTAAAGATCTCATGTCATTTAGTGATCGTGCTTAAAACGTGGAGAAGATTCATGTTTGATATTTTTATGAGTATGAAAATCTATCGTTATTTTCATGATTGCATATAAGACCAAACAGTTTATCTTAATAAAATCATTTCACTTCGCGGAAGAAATTAAACCGTGTATACTGGTGCGTATAGCTCACTTTACAGCTGGTCCCAGAGTTGTGGTACATGTAGTTCGTATCTTAGGCTACCGTGCTTGGTGAGGGTAGCCTGTTCAATCGCTTATGAGTCTTTTTTATTCGTTGTCTGAACCACTCCTCTTTGGGAAAGATCACACAACGCCTTAGTACCATATGAGTGACTAGTTTTAATATAGATTGGCCGATGCGGTTAAATACTGCTAAGTCACATGTGTCACATATATATGGGGGTTTGATTTTCCACATATATGTGTGTGTATGTGTGTGTGTGTGTGTGTGTGTGTGTGTTTGGAATCACTGTCTTTACACCTTACATCGTTTACTGCGTTTTTTTTTTGCGGTTATTATGTCCTTCGCAATGACTAATTGTTTTCTAAGGGTAGGTAATGGTTTATGAACTGTTACTTTTTCTTTAATTTGTCAGACAGATTCTTTATGTAGTGGAGGGTTACACGTGTTTTATTAATATTACTACCAACCCTGTCCTGCATTTATTCTCGTCCTTGGTTGTTTGTCATGGTTTATGAAAGGACCAGTCTGGGCAGCGACGGCTATCTGGATACTTGCGCAGTTTTCAAATGTTTGCGGGTGCCCCCAGTGCTTCAGATATAAAAATCATGCTCAATCACCCTTTGACGTTTGTTATGCAGAATTTGAAATGCAATTGGACACCTCGCTGCTAGAAAGATTAATGCGCAATTTAACATGCGAAAACATGACATATCAGGATACACTGTAGCCTTTATATACATACCTAGGGATGTTATGTGACCGTGGCGATATGATGATCACTGAAGCCTGTCCATTTAGACAAGCTTCAGTGAAGATCGAGGGCAACCTCGAGCCGCTACCCAAAAATATCTCGCTTCACTCGACATTTCTGCGTAGCGTCTCTCGGAAAACTCGGATTTAACCTCGATATAGTCTAGAATTTCACGACTACATCTTGGTTAAATCAGTCGAGGTCTCTAAAATGCTGGAAGTCAAAGACAGATTGATCGTGAGACCTTCTTGGCATCAAGAGAATAGTGACGTTGCTTGCGTTATATATCTACCAGTAGACAAATTTAAAATCTCTCACTCTTAAAAAATTTGCATAAACATTTCACGTTTAACAATTATTAACTATAATTTTATTACACTAATTCATATCATATGGATATGGTTTGAAAACGGGAATTAGTTTACATTTAAGCCACACGTGCGTACACTTTTTTTGTAAATTTATGACTTTTTAACGAGGGCTGTGTTATTTACCTTTTGTTTCTAAGCTGTTCATTCTTCCTCTTTATCAGATATAACGGTAAAAATCAAACGTTTCCCCCTTTGAACTTGTATAACATATAGCATGCTCCATGCTCTGAAACCAGCACATGTATATTCCGAAACCGCCTTGTAGTAAAACATGTCACCAAAACGTAGAAATATTATTCCTGTGGCCTTGAAATAAACATCCGTTTGATTTTGACTATATTCCGTAACCGCCTCGTCGTCAGAAATAACAATAAAAAACTAGAATTATTACTCCCCTGAACTTGTATTAAACATCCGTCGATTTTGACTATATTCCGAAACTGCCTCGTTGTCAGAAATATCACCAAGAAGTAAATTTCTTTCTCCTTTGCACTTGTGAAAAATTAGTTTGACTATATTCCGGTCCAATGCTCCTTTTTTATCAGAAATGTCACTAAAAAGTAGAGGTTTTGCCGTGGAACCTTTTTTCCGCAGCAGTCCCAGCTACGTGTGGCTCAGCTGAGACGCGCATGGTCAGTGTCGACGATTGATTAAATACTTTTCACGCCAGTTGAACGTTCATGACAAGTATTTAGCAAAAATTGACCAAATTGGTCAGGTATTACGTAAGAATTTGGCGGGAGGTGACCAGAGCACGTGGACGAGTTTACTTCATATAACATCTCTAGAGCGTGATAAAGGGTCACTTTATTCGGTTTTAGGGGTGTTTTAGGATGAAATGACTGTATCTGTTCTCGGTATGTATGTCAAATAATACACTGTCACCCTCTTGCGATATATGCCATGAACACCTCTCGCTGACGCTCGAGGTGTTATGTCATATATCGCTCGGGTGACAGTGTATTATCTCACACATAACCGCCCAATACACAGTACTCTCTTGCTTTGTTCTACTTCATAACGTTCAAATTGTTCATGGGCCATTGTGAAAGCCATGGGGATAATGTATATTGATGGGTATGTGTGATGGTATAATAAAGTATCTAGTTCGTTCACTATTCCATTATCTTTTGTGAAAGTGTATTGTATTTGACCGGATATGACCTCTGACACCCATTAGATACTAAGTAATCCGTTATCTTTTGTGGATGGAATCTTGTCAGATATTTGCACCACGGTAAGTAAAGGTCATAAATTAAAATTAACGAAAAACCTAATGACTAACATGTAAGCTTCCGTACAGTGTATATGTAACGTTTTGCTTTTATGCAAATAGCTGTCTTTGGGCCTGGAGTTCAAAGGTTTATAACCCTATGTTTATGAGGGAAAATAGTCAAAAAATCAATTGTCGGATACATTTTATTTTGCTGTATTGTGTCAATGGCAATTTTACTTGGGCCGTTAGCCCGTATTTTTTTCTATCTATATTTGACGTATACTACATTGATTAAATTCAGATTTAATCAGATAAGCAGTATAGATTTTTGTTGTAAGCCAAAGGATTAACACCTTGATAGTCATTTGTTTTATTTCATACTCAAAGAAATTGATTCATAACAACGCAAAAGCATACATTTTGGTAACAAAGCCATAACATCATATTTTAGAATTGGTCATTTTTCTCTGCCTTGGACTAGCTTTCCTTGAGTGACTTCAAAGTAACTGTCTTAAGTAAATATTCTTAAAAGTTGGCCAATTCGGAAAAGCCATAACAGGGCGTCATCCATATAGGGGAATTTAAAACGAAAACCGAAGGCCCTTGCATAATTTTAACTTTTCATAAATCTTGTGCTGTTTTGGACACCCTCCTGATTTTAACATCTTCAGAGTCATTCCATATCAACTCATCCAGCGAGAATACCCCATAAGTCAAGAAACTTGCTGATATTCACATATTGTGTAGTTTTTACAGGGACTAGTAAAAAACGAATGAATAAAAAAGATTTTTAATGAATTTAATGTATCTTATCAATAAAGTGCCACTCCTTAGGTAATTTAAAACTCTATGAACACGGCAAAAAGGAGGAAAAAATGTTAGTGGTTCAATTTTACACCCCAAATAAAGACGTAAAGACTGCCAAAATGCCATGCAGTCAAGTGTGACAAAGGGTTTAAAGTAACGCTTCATACGTCGAAAACACATTTTATCTCTTTCGAAATCGTGATTTTTGAACTACCATTACAGGGAAAACAGCGAACAGCCTATTTCACCGAATTCTAACATCGCTGAGTTATATATACGCTTTTTGTAAATAAATAAAATCCATTAAAAACAATGATAACTTAGCAAAAGATCAGGTAGAGTCTTTTATTCATTTTTCGAAAACAAAGCAAACAACAAGGCAAAGAAATCACAGCTAAAAGATCTATAACTAACAATAACCTAGGATAATAATTTTAACTGTTGCCGACATAAGAGTAATCATACAAAATGCATACGTGAAACTTATCAATAAAAAACCAGGGCCCTGAGTAAGAACTGCAAAAGGGATTTTCTTAAACGCCATTCTGTTCTAGTACCATTTTTACCATTTACTTTTTTTAACCATCATATCAGAGTTAATGAAAAACGTTTAAGGCCGATTTTTAACATATATGTTTTTTGATTCCGTAAAAAGATGCAAATCCAAAAAAGAACATTTCACCAAAATGTCAGACCCTGCTAAATCTTTTCAATTACAAACAAATAGTAATAGAAGCTCTGCTAACAGAAGAATAACTAAATTATATATATATATATATATATATATATATATATATATATATATATATATATATATATATATATCAGAATAAGTGATGCATAACTTTCAATTATCTGGGATACTGATTTCACTGTTGTTGTTATGCTAGTTTGCACACAAAAATGTATACATGGGTATTATTGAACAACAAAACAAAACAAAACTGGGGTGGCTGATTGAGAACTCGGGCGGGTACTTATCTGAAATGTCATTCTGTACTAATACCATGTGGTTCCTGTATCATATAAATTGTGGTTCCTATAGCATATAATCCTCTTTCATTTATGGTTCTCAAAATATTCTTGGATACACACGGCCGCGGGAAGTTTTTAAAGTTGACTTATCACGCTTTGCAATAATCTTTGAGATAAACAAATGCTTCGCAGCAACGTTTATTTACCAAAGCATCTGTACCTATAACAGTATCTTAAAACGTATGTATACCTATAACGGCAATACCACCGAAAAAGACCGATCCTGACCCTAATACATATCCTTATTCGAACCCAGCATATGTAGCGTATCCGGACGCAAGCTCGCTTCTGGCGTTTACCTCCTGAAATATAATATAATATAATATAATATAATATAATATAATATAATATAATCGAAACGATAGGTAATGTTCCTAATGCCTCGTAGATTCTACATGTATGAGGTACAAAGTGAATTTACTGCATGGTCATAGTTGTAGGTATTGAATCGGGTAAAAGTTGGCATCAGAGATTTATGTTGTGCGTACCTGCCGGGGTTTGGGTGCTGCCGCCATCTACAATGTTGCCGTCCTTCTGAGTAAGCCAGTATGCCTCCAGATTCCTGCAGAATTCCTGCATCCTGGGACTTAGCAAGGACTTGTTCTTGATCGGGGAGGTGTTGGCAACGAATTGTTTTTGTTCATTATCTTCATTTGTCGTATTTTCGAAGGTGTTCTAAAAGCAAGATGGTATAGGTAAGGTTTAAGTTTTATTTTATTTAAATACCACTTTATATCTTTAAACACAATTAAAAGTATTGTGTATGTAAAGATGTAAAAAAAGATTCAAAGTCCGAATGAACATGAAGTAAATCGTACCGGTTGTTCCAAAGCGTTGGCCACGTCCTTACTGTCAGTCTCTTCAGATTTGTTCATTGGAGTCAAGTAACAAGCAAACTTGTCATTCATTTCCATCTTGTATACTACCAGACTCTGAAAGGAAACCAACGGGACAATTCACGTGTATTAAAAACGATGGAATATTCTCACAGAATATTGCATCTCTGTGATTCTAATAAGTTCAACTAGCTCGGCAATTCTTTATTATATTTTCATGTTCTACCTTCAAATTACAGTAAATTATGTTTTTGTTTGGTTCTTTCTGGCGATCTGTCATAAATTTGTCAGCAATTTGTAGGAAAAGCAAATGTCATGTTCAAGGGAATGTAACAGTACATTGGAGAGGATACCAGAGCCATTCAAAATTATTGCTAGGCCACTAGGCATTTCATCAGAGAGTTAATAATAATTGTAGCTGCCACGAATCCGGTGACGTCATATATCTTTTAAAGTGGTAACTCAACCTGTTTGTTGATTTATCCCGGGCTGAGGAAAGTCCACTTCCTGCCAAGAGCCTGCCTTAGCTCTCTTCTGTAGAGTGGTTTTTAGTGTAGCATCCAACAGTGTCATTCAAACAGTGGGTTTAACATTCCCACTACCCCCGCTATCCCTAGACCCCACAAAAAAGACCGACCAAATTTTTAGCTGCTAAGGTGGTTATACCTAGTATGTTAAAGATGATAAATACAATACATTAAGTCTCCGATTGTCAACCCATTTTGCTAATTTAGTGAGTTGCTTATCTCTTTAGCATCTAAAATACAAAGACTAAAAAGACTTGACACATAAATCTAGAAATGCCACCACATTGAATTCAGTAATTCCTGTACACCTCAGCTAAGGTGGTCTTAACGAGGTTTACCTTTTGACATAGTACAAGTAAAACAAGTCGTTGTTTATTATTTTTCTAAATTCAGTTTAAAATTCCACTCACTCTCGAGTTGTCCATGGCGACGTGGAACTTCTCGTTGTTCACGTTGTACACGGTGATGTTGTCCTTCAGATCAACCTGAACTTTTTCGTCAACTTTCTTCCCTTGTTTGTCGGTTAAACGGAGATTGTACTCCTGAAGAAAAAGCAATGCCACTGGAAAACCATATAAGGCGATGGGGGTATATTGGCATATAGCGTTCCCGATAAGCTTAAAAAGAAACAGAAAAAAATCGCGAGCCTTGCCATTGAGATATCCATACACGTGCTCGCAATTCTCTTCTCTGCCTGTGTCAGCTATGTTAATCAATATAATTTCAAACTATTCGATTTTTACCCTACTATAGCGATATAGTATACCCACCTTCCACACACCCTGTGCTGCCTTGTTAGAGATGTGAACTGCCCCCAATATTCCACCGATAGCAACAGCAACAACAACAACGACAGCAACAGCAACAATGATGTACTTCTTGTACGACGCCTTGATCTGAAATATATGAAGATAAAATTAATCAGACATTTATTGGCTCTCCAAATGTCCTCTCCTTTGTGCCGTATTTCATTAGAAATACGTACATTTAAAAGAAGGTGATTATCTGTAAAGCCTTTATAATATTATGATTTTTATACAATGTCTGCACAACAGGTTGAAAACGAAACTGACAAATGTAAAGATTCCAGAACATCTATGTATTTATGACTGAGATTCATGACAATTTAAACACAGAAAATAACACTGTTCGTTTTCCCATAGTTTACCAGTATAAATTTTAAAAAGTGCACCTTTATAAAGTTAACATATCATTTTTATATAAAGAGAATCCCGATGCTTTTAGTTAAATTAACTTACAAAATCCTATTTAATCATTGCAAAATTTTCAGACCTAAGCATCGTCGTTCTTTAAACTATTTAAGATAAAAATACAGGTGTGCACCACATAATGCAGCTGTTTTACAGCTTAGCATGGTTGCACATCCCTGGTATCCCCTGTATAAAGCTGAAAAATTCCTGGCCTAAACATCTCCAAAGTGGATATACTTACCTCGGCCCTGTCACGTCGAAACGATCCACTATCTGTGATGACAGTCACGCCGGATTCGGCAGACTTTTCGTCGACTGCTGGCAGCATCTTGAGAAATACCAGGTACAAAACAAGTCCTTCCTTCTCCAGGTAGAGGGAAACCGTCGTCTGATTCGTGTTCGGCGCACATTCCTTTTTATAGATCCTATCTTGTTTGAAATTTCGCCATAGTAATTTTGATTTTACATAAGAGGAAAAATAAAGCCATTTCCATTTGTTTATTGACCACAAAATTGCGAAACTTGTTTTTTCAAAGTTGCATATGATGATGAGGGGCAAATGTCAAAACCAAGATAGCGTGCATTTAGGCTGTATTTTAGATGTTGCCTCCAATACTCCATGCTAAATATAAGCTTAAGCCCAAATGTACGGGTGACATCAAATATGCAATTTTTCAATAAGAACCTCGCTGCAATAACTAGTTATATTTTGCTGAAACTTAGTAAATAAACCAAATACGCCTAAGACCACTCATTTAATCCAGGTAACTAAAATGTCGCTGCATGGCAACGTCATCCCATTGCTAAATCAACTATTTCTCTTAAAGTTGCCATTACTAGCAATTAGATGCCATAAATATTTAGTTGCGCGCCGTCTGGAATCTCCCTTAAACTAGCACTGCCTGGATATTTGTAAGTCTTTTAATGCTATGCCATAGCATTACTGATACCAGCAAAATGTATACAGCTTCAAAATTACATTAAAATAAATTTGAATTACTTTGAATGTAAAATGTGCACTGGTTTACTGGTCAAAGATATCATTTTTCAACTACGTTCTCGTTACTGGATAACATTTTAGTATTAATATCAAAAGCAAGAATCAATTTCAGGGCAACGATGTAAGATTTTTCATGAAAACTGCGATAATGTAGATCTTACAAAAAAAATCATCACCCTTCAGATTTGCTGTACTAGCAGAATTTAAAGTGCAATAGGGCATGTCAGCGCAAGATAGATTCTACAAATTTTACCTCATAAGACTGTACATGGGTATAACCACTCAATGACTTTCAGATCGTTATGAAGTCATTACATCATCATAACGATTTGTGTTCCGTTGTTTTATAGAAAAATTGCATCAGCCGGGGTATAGAATATGATAGCTGTATGTTACCGAACTGTATCATCATCTCTGAAATGGACTCTAAGACTGCATTCCTACAGATTTTAGATCGATCTATCCCCGTGGGGAGTCTCAGTAGATTGTTGTCAGCTTAGCCGGCTTAAATGTCTGTCCCGCCTACTAAAAGCTGTAAGGGGGTAATTAACTTTCGTGCGAGCTCGGCTGACAGCAATTTAGCGTGAACCCCCAAGGAGTTAGGTCGATCCAGATAGATCGATCTAAATCTGTGGGAATACAGTCTAACACCAAAAAGGCAGCTCAATATCTTTTATGGGTGAAATCTCATTAGCAAATACCTTTGACAAACAACTAAGGTGCACAGTCAAGGTTAGATAAAAACTCCTAAATGGCTGTTTTCAGGCAAATGGTTTGGATAAATGATAAATATTTAGTGCTCATTGACTTTTTTCCTTTGCATTTACACAAGTGTCATTTTACTGATAGCGGCATAATTTCGATTTTGGAGTGTAAATTGCAAAATCGGCTATTGCTTATATATCTCCTTTACCTTGGCATCTATGAAAATCGTGATACTTTTTAGAACTGTTCAATAAAACATTGTAATTAGAGAATCATGACTCCATAACAAAAACATTTAAACCATAGTAACACTAAAGGCAGGGGATTGTAATTCTAACTTTTTACGACACATATGTCAATTTCCGTGAGAAACTCATCTTCAGTTAAGAAGTTACGATACTAACTGTTATCTCACCTTGAAATAAAAAGGGTATACATTTCCCAAAAGCCCATGTACGCTAAATTTAGAATTTACTGATTGCACAGTTACGGCTATGATACGATACACGATAAAATTGCCTGTTAAGATATTTTTAAATGCAGCCTTCTAATCTTCTGTTGATATTTCGCGAACTGCTTGCTTTCCTTTTCACATGTTGTCTGATTGCGCTCCGTAAGACTTATGGCACCCATCGCTTGTGACTGCACTGTTCAGGTGTCTCTGCTTATCACGTGACACCACAGTAGCCCCGCCCATCCCATAGCAACTGAGGCGGAGTTAAGTGATAGTATGTATTCAATTTAAAGAATTAAAATAAAAACATAAAGGGAAAGTGAACCCCTATGTCTTATTTTTCAATAAGCAAAATGGTTGAAACATTATTTGAAAAAAAATCTTCTTTCTGGGTATTTTAGCAATCATAAACCCTGTCCGTGTACTTACATGTAGCGACTGACATGGAAGCTTGTGTAAAAATAAAGATCTTTGGACAACGTGCGCGTATATATTATTGTATTGATGAAGGTCTTAAAGGTCCGTGCTGCTTTGAATGCCTTTGGAATAATTAATTAGAAACTAATTAGAAACAAAAGATTGCAGAACACCCGATGTCTTTTAAAGTATCTGATTAATCATACTATAGACACCCCTTGTCAAATTTAAACACATTTCCATGGATGAGAGACAACGGAATAAAAAATGCCTTCCACAAAAACTGAATAATTTATTTTGTGGTTTCATTTAACGCGCGAGTGTGCATAACTTGTCGTTTACAAATGAAGACCGTTTACACTGTCACGTGCTAAACAGATGAATTTCCTGAAAAATGGATTGGTTATTTAAATGGCCTCTAAAACGTGCTAACTATGATAATGGCAAGTTGGAGAGAGAGAGACAGAAAAATTGCCTCTTTGCATTATCTTCATTTACTTTTCATGAAATGCCAATCATTTACACTTACATTTTACATATATCACTCTCCACCTTTTTGGAATAATCACGGGATTACCATTTTCGAAATACGCAATGTGGGCGTGGCCCGATGTTTATTTCAAGAACACGTTTTGCAATTTGGATGCTTTCATGGCTACATAACACACGTGCCACGTACACTAGACATTTGCGATAGCTTCCACTATAGAATCAACACCACACAAAGGTGTCCACTAAATTATCTTTATTTTTCAACGCACACGTGTGCCACATGACTCCACATCCAACATCTCTCTCAAAACCCCCCACTAGAGGGACGACACAATCTTACGTCTCCTCCGCAGCAACCAAGACAACCCCAATACACAACAACACGTAAAGTCATAAAGACACAAAAAGTTCAGTTCAGCAACATGTGGTGTCTTTCGACACGACCTTCATACAGTTAACACAAATATAAAATAATGACAAACAGTAACTGTCATAACTATTATTTGATTCAGTTGACGACATACAAGAGAGAAGATAAATCACTATATTGTTTTTATCGGATAAATCAGTAGGTCTATACTACAAAATTTACAAAACATTATCCCAATTTCCTACCAGCTACATCAGTGTCGTGCGTGTTTAAGTCCCCACAGTCTAGATCTACTTAAGGAATGGCTCTGTATATAAGCGTGTGGATGAGTGTTTGAGTGCGTGCATGAGCGTGCATGCGTTTACATGTGTGCATGAGCATGATTGTGTGTGTGTGTGTGTGTGTGTGCGGGTACGTGTGTGTTTGTGTACGTGTGTGATATAAGCCAACGTTTATTTACCCCAGTGAAATCTGTAACACCAACCATAATAGTATCTGTAATAGCAAAACGGGACCATCATACATTTAACACAGGAGACAATAATGGGAAGAAGAAGAAGAAGAATAAAATGATAATTAATATTATTTTTTTTTGTTGTTGTTGTTTCATGTTTAATAAAACTCACCCTACTATAAGGATGGCGAGAGACTAAAGCCTGTGAAAGTACAATTAAAAATGTTTCTACTTCATTTGAAGTACAATGCATGCATAATCGCTCATTCAGTGACATAAAGAATAATGTCCGTTTTCCAGTCTGATGGGTGCGCTTCCGCACCCATCGAAAATCCAACATGTATATCACCGATTTTTCCATAACCTTTGGTAAAACCTAAGCAAAAAGTATGTGTTTTCTTTAGTCTTTTATTTACTTTTCAAAAATAAAGCAAACGACAAGAAAAAAAAGCATAACTTAAAGGTGCATCACTTGTAATGATCTAGGATAATGAGATAATGATTTCACTGTTGTCGTGATAACAGTTAACATATAAAAATGCTTACGTGGGCCTTATTAAGAACAAAACAGGAGAGCTGATTAAGACTTCAGAAGAAATCTTCTAAAAAAATTTTCTGTATTTGTAGCATGTGGTCCCAAAATCCTTTATATGATTTACTTTTCAACCATAATTCCAGAGAGAATGAAAAGTTTTTTCATCCATTTTTAACATCATTGATATACATAAGAAATTCCGTAAAATATAAGGTACACCTTACCAAAAGTCAGTCCCTGTCCGTCCGACTCTTTTACTCATATTTTGAATATATAAAAAAAACAACAAATATAATCCTTACTAAAAGATGCATAACTTCGAGGATAAGTAATCTGTTGTTGATATGGTTCTGATATGTTCTTGAATTCACAAGAATTGATTATTTAATTACACTTCGCAATAATTCTTGTGATAAACCAACATTTCACAACGAAGTTTATTAACCCCAGCTAGTAGCATCTGTAACAGTAACCACGAGTGATTCTATAAAAAGAAACCCGACGAGAACCGATCTTGAAGCAAATGCGTTGAATCCTTATGCAACGGCACCAAGAGCAAGCTCGCTTTTGGCCAATACCTACTGAAATAAAATAAAATAAAATAGAATAAAATACAATTTAATGCCCTGTACACTCTATATACAGAGTAATTAGTGTATTTACCTACATTTTTACTGTTGTAGATATTGCATCGCGTTATGGTAAACATTACAGAGATTTATACTGTGCGTACCTGCCGGGGTTCGGGTGCTGGCGCCATCTACTGTGTTGTCGTCCTTCTGAGAGAGCCAGTATGCCTCCAGATTCCTGCAGGATTCCTGCATCCTGGGACTTAGGAAGGACTTGTCTTTGATCGGGGAAGTATTCACCTCGAAGCTTTTTTGGTCATCGTCATCTTCTACATCATCTGTCGTGTTCTGGACGGTGTTCTAAAATAATAACTGTACAGGTAATTCATGTCTTGCATTATTTTCATATGTTAAAAAATCATATTTTGAAACACAATCAAAAGCATCATTTATATATAAAGAAATAAACAAAAAGACTCAATAAATATAAAATTATTCGTACCGGTTGTTCCAAAGCGTTGGCCACGTCCTTGCTGTCAGTCTCTTCATATTTGTTCATTGGAGTCAAGTAACAAGCAAACTTGTTGCTCATTTCCATATTGTATTGTCATAAAAAAGTTCGCGTGTGCCGGACATAGGACAAATACGCCCAACACCATTTGTTCAATCAATTGATTGGTCTGGGACTGCCATGTTCAAGGGGAAGCGTAAAACGTTGGAACCTGGAAAGCTAAAATCTACTCGGCAACCATCAACATTAAAAAAGGCGATAACAGAACGTCGAGTATGAAAATCAATCGTGATTTTCATGATTGCATATAAGACCAAACAGTTTAGTTTAATAAAATCATTTCACTTCGCAGGAGAAATAAAACCGTGTATACTCGTGCGCGTGGCTCACTTTACAGCTGGTCCCACAGTTGTGGTACATGTAGTTCGTAACATAGGCTACCGTGCTTGGTGAGGGTAGCCTGTTCCATCGCTTATGAAAGGTCATTTTTATTCGTCGCCTGAACCATTCCTCTTTGGGATAGATCACACAACGTCTTAGAACCATATGAGTGACTGTAGTCGATTCGGTAAATTCTGCATATATATATATATATATATATATGCATTCTCCTTCTTTACACCTTACATCGTTTACTACGTTTAAAACTTTTTTGCAGTTATTATGTCCTTCGCATTGACTAATTGGTTTCTAAGGGTAGGGAATGGTTTATGGACTGTCACTTTTTTCTTTAATTATTTATGTAGTGGAGGGTTAAAAGTGTTTTATCATTATTACTATCAACCCTCCCCTACCTTTATCCTCGTCCTTGGTTGTTTGTCGTGGTTACTGAAAGGACCAGGGCTCCGTATCTCGAAAGGTTCGCTATGTTGCGCACGCGTGTTAGTGTCTCGATTCCATAACCGATTCTATTTCGAGATACGGGGCCATGAAATCGTGACACTTGCGTACGTGCAAGTGAGTCTCGATTTCATGGCCCCGTAACTCGAAATAGAATCGGTTATGGAATCGAGACACTAACACACGTGCGCAACATAGCGAACCTTTCGAGATACGGAGCCCAGTATGGGCAGCGACGGCTAACTGGATACTAGCACAGTTTTCAAATGTTTGCTGGTGTCCCCGAAAGATAAAAAAGGTGCTTAATCACCCTTTGACGTTTGTTATACAGAATTTGAATTGCAATTGGACACCTCAGCGCTAAAAGATTAATGTGCAATTTAACATGCGAAAACATAACAACTTCAGGACACACTGTAGCCTTCATATAACCGCCTAAACCATCTAGTATTGTCACGCTTTGTTCCACTTCATAACGTTGATATTGTTCGTGGGCCATTGTCAAAGCCATGGAGATGATGTATATCAATGGGTGTGTGTCATAGCATAATAAAGTATCTAGTTCGTTCACTATTCCATTATCTTTTGTGAAAGTGTATTGTAATTGACCGGAAATGACCTCTGACACCCATTAGATACTAAGTAGTCCGTTATCTTTTGTGGATGGAACCTTGTTGGAAAAATGCACCACAGCAAGTAAAGACCGTTAACTAAAATTAACGAAAAACCTAATGACTAACATGTAAGCTTCCGTATATGTAACGTTTCGCTTTTGTGCAAATAGCTGTCTTTGAGCCTAGAGTTCAAAGGTTTATAAGCCCATGTTTATGAGGGAAAATAGTCACAAAATCAATTGTCGGATACATTTTATTTTGCTGTATTGTGTCAATGGTAATGTCACTTGTTTCTTGTGGCTAAGGCCTTTAGTCCGTTCGACCCTGCATGAATAAATATACATTTAATGAATTTAATGTATCTCATCAAACAAGTGCCATTCCTTAGGTACTTTAAACCTCTATGAACACGATAAAAAGGAGGAAAAAATGCCTTCCACGAAAACTGAAAAAAGATGTTAGTGGTTCAATTTTACACCCCAAATAAAGACGTAAAGACTGCCAAAATGCCATGCAGTCAAGTGTCCAAGGCGCTGTGATGAAGGGTTGAAAGTAGCGCGGCATAAGTCGAAAAGAACATTTATCTCTTTTGAAATCGTGATTTTTAAAATACCATTACAAGAAAACACAGTGAACAGCCTATTTCACCGAATTCTAACATCTCTGATTTATGTATACGTTTTTTTTTTTTTTTTTTTTTGTAAATAAATAAAAGCCATTAAAACACAATGATAACAACTCAGAAAAAAGTCATAGTGACTTTTACTCATTTTTTTTCTAAAACAAAGCAAAAAAGAAGGCAAAAGAAGCACAACTAAAAGATGTATAAGTAACAACAATCTAGAATAATAATTTTACTGTTGTTGACATGAGAGTTAACATACAAAAATGCACACGTGGAACTTATGAATAGCAAAACAGGGAAGCTTATTAAGAATTTCGGAAGGGATTTTCTTTAACACCATTCTGTACGAGAACCATGCAGCCCTCATATCCTAAATATAATATACTTTTGTAACCAGCAGTTCAGATACAATGAAAAATATTTTACGCTGAAATCTAACACCATTGACATTTGATTCTGTAAATATAATTTAAAAAATTCCCCGAAAAATTAAAAAAAAAACTTTCGAAAAAGTCAGTCCTTGTTTATCTAACTCCTTTACTCTTAAAGCAAACAACAAGAAATAAAAGCATTAATAAAAGGTGCATCACCATCTGTCATCTAGAATAATGATTTCACTGTTGTTATTATGGCAGTTAACAAACAAAAATGCATACTTAAGCTTTATTGAAAAGAAATGAAAAAAAAAGAAAAAAGAAAAGAAAACGGACGCTGATTAAGAACCTCTGAAGGGATTTTCTCAAAAGTAATAGTGCATTTGTACCAAGTGACGCTTATGTAACAGTGGATTACCCCGCTTTAAAAATTCAACGTTTTGAGATATTCTTGGATTTAGTATCTAAAGCTGAAAAAGTTCTAATAACCCTATGCAGTAATCTCTGTGATAAACAAATATTTTGCCCCGGCGTTTATCTACCGTAGCATCTGTAACACAAATGATAGTATCTGTAAAAGCAATACCGATAATAACCGTAATAGTAGCAGTAGTATCTCCAGCAATGATACCAGTAGCAAGCTCGCTTCTGGCGATTACCTCCTGTAATATAATATAATATAATATAATATAATATAATATAATATAATATAATAAGCGAAAATCGAGACAATGGCTCACATTTACTGCCCCGTACATTCTATATACAAAGTAATTAATGAATTTACTGCACTGGCACTGTTGTACGTATTGCACCGAGTAACGATTAACATTTAATAGATTAATCTTGTGCGTACCTGCCGGTGCATGGGTGCTGGCGTCATCTACAATGTTGTCGTCCTTCTGAGTAAGCCAGTATGCCTCCAGATCCTTGCAGAATTCCTGCATTCTGGGACTAAGGAAGGACTTGTCCTTGATCGGAGAAGTGTTGACAACGAATCGCTTTTGTTCAATATCTTCATCCGTCGTATTTTCGACGGTATTCTAAAAAACATGATGGTATAGGTTAGGTTACGGTTTTAATCATACCTTGCACATGTTTAAATGCCACTTTATATATTCAAACACAGTTAGAAGTAATGTGTATGTTTAGATGTAAACACAGATTCAAAGTCCGAATAGATATCAAGTACATCATACCGATTGTTCCAAAGCGCTGGCCACGCCCTTGCTGTCAGTCTCTTCAGATTTGTTCATTGGAGTCAAGTAACAAGCAAACTTGTTGTTCATTTCCATCTTGTATACTACCAGACTCTGAAAAGATACAAAACAGGACAATACACTGTTGCTTAAAATGATGGAATATTTCAACAGAATATTTGGGAATCCTTTTTTTCTTTTTTTTTCACATAAAATTGATTAAAACAGGTTTTGATGTAATATTAACATATCCAACAAAATGATTTCATTGGCATCTTAATCGCATCAAAATTGAAAGGGAGTAACTGGTAAATGTAGAAATATCACCGCATTGAATCTAGTAAATTCTACAGATCTCAGCTTAGAGGTACTTAACCTCATTTGCATATTGACGAAGTATAAGTAAATTAGCCCTTTTTTATTAGCAATTTCACAATAGATTTAAAACCGCCTCTACCCACCCTCGAGTTGTCCATGGCAACGTGGAACTTCTCGTTGTTCACGGTGTACACGGTGATGTTGTCCTTCAGATCAACCTGGACCTTTTCGTCAACTTTCTTCCCTTGTTTGTCGGTTAAACGGAGATGGTACTCCTGAAGAAATAATAATAATAATAATCACATTAGATGATGATGACGATGATATCGTTAGTTTTGATTGCTCATTTCTTAGCATATTATTCCTTTGAAACCAGATCGATGCGTTTTGCAACTGAGATATTTCATGCGCGTGCTACGGTTTTTAATAAATTTGAGCTTCTAATAAAGGGATCCTTTTTTTTTTGTCAAAAATGATAATTAGCATAATTTTCAAATATTCTATTATTATTATTATATTATTATTATTATTATTAGTGATACAGTATATCCACCTTCCACACATCCTGTGCTGACTTGTTAGAGATGTGAACTGCTCCCAACGTTCCACCGACAGCAACAGCAACAACAACAATGACAGCAACAGCAACAATGATGTATTTCTTGTACGACGCCTTGGTCTGAAAAATAAATTAAAAGATAAATTCAAACAAAAAAGAACTTAGGATATAATATAATTCTCATCGCCAACTGTGTTGTAAATTGTTTTCGCCAATTACATTTACCATTACCAGCAAGGTAATTTCGCTAAAACATGAAAATCCCATATTAGATTTGTGTGAAAACTAACTTAAAAATCATTTAAAATAACTAATCTGTTACCATGCATGCAATTTTATCATTGAATAAGGACGTTAATTCCTTCATAAAGAAACTCGAGATCCAGTACTCTAAAAATTAACAAATGCCGGTCGAATGTCTTTTCTAAATATATGCATAAGTCCAACTTCTTTCATTACAGAATATTTTAAAGCGTTCTAAAAATTTACCTTAGTAAAATATATGGGAGAATGAACCCCCGTCGCACATGTGTTTAAATAACATTGTCACACTTGAACTGTAGATAAAAAGCATGGTCTATATGACAAAGCTATTTTGAATGGCTAAAAATTGGGCATTAACTGTATGAAAAAAAAAAGGAAATTGAAAAACGGTGAATATTCACAACAAAAGCAAAGTGGATGACGCGACTCAACTGTTCACTTTTTTGAGGAATGACCCTACTTAAAGTAAAAAACTTCCTGGCCTAAATATCTTCAAAGTGGATAGACTTACCTCAGGACCGTCACGTCCAGAGGACCCACCATCTGTGATGACAGTCACGCCTGGCTCGGCAGACTTTTCACTGACAGTTGGCAGCATCTTGAAAGTATATCAAGATTCGTCTAGCAGAGAGCAGCACTCAAGGTTTTACTTTTTCCGACCGGTCGAGTTCGCCGTTTGCTTCGAGCTGGGCGTACTCTCCTTTTTATAGCTGCCATCACGGCGAGAGATTTTTCAGGAACAAGTTTTCGATACAAAAGAACAATGTCTTCCAAGTTTTTAAGCAGAAATAAACACGCTTTCATATGTTGATGTGGTGGGAAAGTTTTCGACAACCAAAAAAAAAGATGAAAACCCTAAGCATTTTTTAACTATCTTATCAATGGTTGGGTAATTTTAACAAGCATTCACACGATACAAAAGGTGAAATAAACCAACGAAAAGTGATCTTTGTCAAACAAGTTTTCCATGCAAAAGATGGAACGTCTTCCAAGTTTTTAAGCAGAAAAAAACGCGCTTTCATATGTTGCTCTTAAGAATATGACAGCGAAGAAGAAATGCTAAAAACCGTAAGTATCTGACCAATTGTTAGGTAAATTAAACAACACGACACAAAAGGTGTAAAATTCATTCTTTCAAGAAAACTAGAAAATTTGTTTTTCTTATTTTGCTGAAGACTTGATAGTTTCATTTTTTCAATTAAATTTTATCGGTTGATAATGTAATCGAGCTCTGTCCTTTAATGCACATGTAAGGCCTGTACTTCTCCGACTTATGGAGAGAGTCAAGTATTGAGCATTGGTCAGTTCATTTGTTACACCCTTCTAGCATTTTATTTATTGACTACAGATCAGCTTTTAACACAGTTGTGCCAATAAATCTATATTTGGAAATTTTAAACCATCTTGAGCTACCTGTTTTTATTTGTGACTGGATTTTAGACTTTCTTTTAGATAGAAGACAAGCTGTTAAAGTCAGCTCTTTTATCTAAAAAAAAAAGTTTTAAATACCGGTGTACCGCAGGAATGCGTCTTTTCACTTTGTCTTTACTTCCTTTTTACCTATGATTGTACTATTGTAAGCGACGGGACTTTTCTTATGAAATTTGCGGATGATACTACGCTTGTGGGGCTAGTTACTTATAATGACGAGAGTACACATAGAGAATCTGTTGAGTCGGTGGAAAGGTGGTACGAGAGTAATGATCTTAATTTGACCGTAGCTAAAACCAAACAAATGATAGTGAATTTTAGAAAGAATCAGAATGTTAAGGCACCACTCCCAACTGGTAACGTTGAAATAAGTAGGGTAGAGGAATTTTATCTATTTGGTACACGCATGAACAGTAAAATTAATTGGAAAGATAATACCGCGAGGAGTGTAAAGAAGGTACGGCAAAGATTAAATTTTTAGGATCATTGAGAACTTTTACTGATAGCGAGCCTATTTTAGTCAATTTTATAGGTGTGTAATTGAAAGCATCCTGGCGTACAGAATTATAATATGGTATAGCGGAACAACTGGGGATGAAAAAATAAACTAACCAACGTTGTAAAAACTGCAAGCAAGGTGTATGTAATCGGGCAGGATCTGCCCATGATATTTTAACGACAGAATGAAGAAAAGAACTGTTAACACCATGGAAGATTTTTCTCATCCTGCATCATCACTTTTTACCTTTTTACCAAGTAATAGTAGACTTTAAACTTTTAAAAGGAGTAAAAGCTTTTTAAACAGCTTTTATCCAAGTGCAGTGACGCATTTTTATTTGATCTCAAAACCCAATTCTTAATTTATCTATTGTATTACACCTATTCTGTATATTTTCAAACTTGCTCCAAAAGGAAAATGATTTCCGAATTTTATAATTCACTAAATAAACTCTTAACTTATCTTATCTTATCTTATCTTATCTTATCGTTATCCACGTTACGTGTAAGGCACTTACAATTACAAAAAAATGTGATTCGTGTAAAAGAAAAAGTGAGGTACGTCTCAAAGAATAATAGTTCATATTTATAGACATTAATTGTAGTGCAAGAGAAGGAAACAAAATAAACACGGAGAGCGACTCTTTGGCGTGTAATTCAGTTGTACAAACATGAGTCTAGATGCTGACAACCTGTCATTAAGTGATTATTTATCATATTTGAAAAGAAAATGAGGTGTCGCATTTTTTAACTTACGCAATTCAAAAACAGAACTAGTTAGCATAAGAAAGGTTGAAGTGTTAAAATCTATTTATTCATTTTTTAAAGAATCCACTTGGGACATTCACGAATAAATGTGAGCGGGATATTTGGTTAGACACACAATGCAATGTCCAGAATTATTTCTCTTCAAATTGATAAGCTGTTCAGTTCTACAGGTAGTCAGCCACAGAGCAATTGTTTCAACAAGGGTTGGTTTCACGAAAAAACTTTAGCCCCTAAAGTGGTCTAAACTTCTTGATGAAAAATCTTGTCTATGAATTTAAAAAGAATGCATTGTAGTCCAGTGGTATATTTCTTTTGAGAAAAAACTTCAACGTAATGAGAAGTGCCATGCATACGGACGCTAAAAAAACACTGTTATTCGAAAAGGTATAAATAGCGTGCATAGTCATGATCAGCAACCACAACGAATTTCGAAGAAAAGGTGATTACAAAACTATCAATCAATATTTGAGTTAAAAGTATCTAATTATAGCAAAAAACGGCTAACCAGAGTTGGAAGTAAATATTACCTGTATGACATTGGAGCGCACCGCTAGTCTTCAACCGACTCTCTTATCTTACATAATTAACTGTGTCTTCTGCTGCAGAACGCCGCTCTGACTGGTATGCTTAGTAATGGGACGTCACTCCCCGTAGTAATGGTGGGGGAAATAAACTTAGATTGTTCAGATTGTTTAAAGAAGGTCTAGAAGTAAGTAGTCATGTCAAAAATCCATTTTTGTCAATTAAACATCGAAGTGCACGTGCTTAGGTGAAGTGTTGGGTGGCCCCACTTCGAATAGAAACGGGTCGATATGAAAAAACTAGCTATTTTGAGAAAAGAACCGGTGCATTGTGTGATAAGGGGATTTTAGTTAACTATCCCTCTTTTATTGTTGAACGTGGTGAAATTAAAATAAACGTTCTAATAACACTTTTGATTTCTTGAATGATAACAAGTACACACAATGGACAATAGAAGTGTCACCCCCTGAATCAGAGTAATCAAATAATAATCAAGTAATCAATTGTCAAAGTAGGCAGATCTTGGATCTTGAGTAGTTATAATGCCTGGTCTACATTTTTTTTTTTGTGTGTGAAATTTGATGTTAATAAAATAATACCAGGAGCATATCATTCCACAGTCATTTATCTCCCCCAAAGTATTGGTTCAGTAGGCGTGACACTTCTATTATCCATGGTGCGTATTTATTTTTGATTAGTAGTGATATGATTAATTTAGTTGCCAAAATTTGCTGCCGATTTCTAGACGGAATTTTATTTATAAATGAAGTTTCCATGTATATACACGGTATTAAGCGATATTCAGTATCTCGTAGTTCTATATAGAAATGCCATGTTTTACTGTTCTTAATTAGTATTTCTCTTTTTATGGGTGAGACTTCAATACAATATCTTGATTACTTGTGGTTTATATCATCAGTGTCAAAATAAAAGGAGTGACTGTTGAGAGAGGTACGTGGCAGTATATAATTTTGCGTTGTAAACAGAAAAAATTGAGAAAAACGAACAGAAGGCTGAAAATACCAAGTACCCATTAAATAATTTTCAAATAAGATTCGACGAAAAGACGGACGACTGAATCCATATAAGGCAACAGACATTAAGATAATGATACATAATGATACTATGTTGCATGACACTTCCTGGCACGCAGTAGGTGATGGAATGCGTTTTATAAAGAAACTGAACACTGAGTAAAATAAACAATATTCCGAGGCGGACACGTGCGTGTTACAAGCTCACAAACACAGAAATAATCATTAACCTTGACCCGTCATCTAAATGCATGGCAAACAACAACAGGTTTCGAACGTGTCAGGAGTCACGTTTTAAAGCGAGGACGAACGTGAGGAGACTTCGGCAAACACAGGTCCAAACGATAAGACTTTGTTTGAGGGCAGCTAATATTGAAGGCCTACAATTTTAATTAAAATACAAACAGGTGCTAAAACCGTGAGTCATGTTGAAAAAATTGCCTTCCAAGAAAATTAGAAAATATCTATGTGGTTTTATTTAACGCGAAATCGTGAGTCACGCCTACTCTTGCAAATGACAATTGTAGGCCTAAACATCACGTACTAAACAAATAAAACTACCGTGTGTCCCTCCCTTTCGTGGATAAAACTACAATCTTAATTAAAATAATTTTAATTGAAATAACCTATGTTAATTAAGGGATATCTTTAATGACTTAAGACTGTCACAACCAGGACGTTTTTTATTATCATGCAAACAGCCATGAATGCGAGCCAAAGGATGAAGAAATGCCTTTCAAGAACACGGGGGAATACTTTGTGGTTTTATTTGACGCGCAATTGGTATTATAATTTTTATCAGAAAAAAAAAGAAAAGAACACCTGGTAAACGCGTTAGGCGAACACCTCTCTTTCGTGGGTGAAATACAATCAAAATAAAACAGATGAAGCCTTAACGAACCATATTCGAAACAACACAAAAATTTTCCTATACGATTAAACATAGTTTTCTCGATTCATTTACATCTCGTGCTGGTACTCGTACTTTCACCCATATTTCGTCCTTTTCGCTCGTGTAAATAGCCCGACTTCTTTCCATTCGAGATCAATAGGGCCTACAGTCACTTTACAAACACGTCCTTAGTTAACAGCCTATGTACAATGAAATGATGACTAATACAGAAATGAGGAAACCGCCTGAAAAGCCAGAAGACCTGTAAGATTTTTGATATCGCAGGTCCTGGCAAGGTTCATGCGAAAATACAGTACATGATAATAAATCACATGTAAACAGATATAAAATATTTAGTTCGGACCAGCACTCTGCACCACACATGGCCTTCGTGACCCGTATGTCCTGCCTGTCTCTCTTCCTGGTGATAACAAAGTCGATGAGATGCCAATGCTTTGAGCGTGGGTGCATCCATGATGTCCTGTTGCGGGTGGGGAGGCTGAAGATGGTGTTTGTGATCGGAAGGTTGTGCTCGGCACATGTCTGGAGAATCTTCAGTCCGTTGCTGTTACAGCTGCCGATCCCATGCTTCCGTACCACCCCTTCCCATGTAGTGAGGTCACTGCCGACTCTGGCGTTAAAGTCTCCGAGTATAAAGAGCTTTTCTGTGTTGGGAACTGAGTTGATGGTAGCATCAATGTCCACATAGAACTTGTCTTTGATCTCCTCTGGGTTGGTCATGGTGG